CACGAAATACACTTTCCTTAATTTAATAAAACAATTTTAAAACGAAGAAAAGGCGTCTTTCAAATGATCGAAATTAGAAGTTCCGAAATACTTCTTCATCGGAACCCCGCTACTCTTTGACAGCAAGTAAGTTGGCTGGATTTTGCAAGTAATTTAAAGCCGCGCGTAACTGGGACAATAAACTCCGCAATAACCACTTCTACAAACAGAAAAACAGAACGCGGAAACTTCTTATGGTATAAACATGCTATTTAAATGCGCATGCAAATCAGGCACGGCACAAAAACCAATTTTAAAATTATGCGGTACATAATTCGAAACTGATTGAACAAGAATCATTTGGACTTATTTGAATATCATACATGAGTCAAACTATTCCAAAGTCACCAGTAAAAAGTTAAAAGATTGATTTGTCTTCCGGGTCAACCACATAATTTTCCGCAGAAAGAATCCGAAAGGCTAGAACCATTTTGGACTCAAGAAATCATCAGCCGCATCAAAAATTGATTTAAAAAAGGGATTACGAGGTGAAAATCTTAGAATAAAATATTACTGTATAAATCAAAATATTTCTAATCTACGCCTGAACTTCGCGAATATTATAGCTTATTTTTAAAAGCTCTTTGAAAATAGAATACAGTATGAAATATAAACTCATATTAATCNACTGGTTGATTCTTCGGAATTTCTACAAAACTAAGGCCCGGAAAATTCGGATAAAATTTAAATAAATCGATTTGAATTTGTGCGGTACAGTACTTTGAAGCCTTCTTGCCAAGTCACGCATGTCATTCCGTAAAGAAATCTTGAGGCCATTTGGGATCAATTTTCGGCGAGCAAATGCCGATGCGATGACAGCAAATTGCGAAAAGGACTCGGCCCGACGCCTTCAATACGCCAATATTTCCCACATTGTCGGCAAAGGGCGGATAATGAGAGAGCACGGCGAACGATCTTCCTGTATCTTCTGCCAAATCTTTCCAACGAGGAACACTTTCAAAAGAAGCGCAGAAAAAAAAATTTTCGAAAAAAGCGAGCAAAATGAAGTGCAGATGAGTGACAGCAAAGGGGAATTGAAAAAGATAAACATCTTAGGCTAGCAGCAACTATAACGGATAAGAAGCAATTAGCTTTTCAAAGCTTCGACAAGTTGACCCCGCGGGGAAGATGAGGCTTGAAAAAAATATTTTGGCCAAGTGGAGAAAACACACATCAATTTTGCAGGACAGCCAGTTTTTTTTTCTAACAAGGAATACGTTCTTATTACGGTTTGAAATTTCGAGTTGGATCTTCTTCCTCATTTTCGTCTGGAATCTGAATTTTAGAAAAACTCAAAAGAAAAATTGTCTGATGATCCAATCCATTTCAAGAACTTCTCTCGCTTGGAATTCCAGACAATCAAAATTTCCGCTTCACATAATGCATGAAAAAAATAGAATCCTCGAATTTGACAAACCATTTTGCGCTAAGAAATCGAATCGAAGTTAATCTATCTATCATTTTCAGATAAAATAATATAACTGAAGCACAGATAGCAAATCAAGTATGGTCCTAACTGAATATCAACTAACTCATCTTAGCCCTGGATTATGAGTGATTCAAAAATCAAACTCAATACATCGCAATTGGGTAACGATTTAGGAAATCAACTAAAAACAAGTCCAGTGGAAATTAATGAGGGAATACTGTGCCCAATATGGGCAGTATGTAAAATGAAAAGGAAATTCAAATGGTAGATAAATGTATGAGCTGTGTCATACAAGTATTATATAATCAATTAATCTAGCAAAAAAAATCGCCGGGGAAAAACTCTCACGAGTGATTTGCCCAAAGAAGGATTTTCGGGTTTTTCGTCCGGATCCCTCATTTTCTATTTTTTTTCGTGCATTAAAATAATATCAATTATAGGCCGCCCCCGAGCTTTTTACAGCACCTTTCAACATATATAATAATTCTTAGCATTATATGTATATAGTAACATACGTTTAGGTGTTTACAAGAGAACTATCCCTAAAAATATTTCAAATTGGCATGATCACGGTCGAGGAAAAATCACTTGTTCCCCGCGTTCGAGTATACCGAGGAAGTTGCTCACGGAAAACTTTTACTCCACGGTCAGTCAGGGATTGATTAGTCTTTCTTAATTATAAGGTATGGTCCTTCCCTTTTCTTCGTCTCATTTCATTTTCTCAATTTTTTCTTTTCCACGCTGGTTGATGAAGGTGACCTATCCCGATTTCCTTCTCTACGAACTATTGGAGTGGAGCTTGTTCGCAGAGCCCGAGTGCTTGCTGACGTTTCCGCGCCTGGAGGCGTTCAGAAGAAGGATTGAAAGTCTGCCCCCGGTGCGAACCTACATAGACTCGAACAGGTGAAGAAACATTTTTTTTGTGGACGACATTGTTGCACAGGGGAAAAAATTTGACTTACGACTCAATGCACGAAACAAGCATCTGGTTTCTTCCATGAAAACACTGAAAAAACGCCGCTTGCAATTCAATGTTTTCTTCAATGCAGAAAATAATTTTTCGTCCTCTTCTGATGATTTGTGTACTGTACTGCATTCAATTTCGCAAGTAAGTAAGAAATCTACGCACGTAAACTAAAATATGGAAATAAAAACACGGATGATTTGAAAGAATTAGGAAAAGATTTACCGTACATAAACTTCTTCTGTTACTCAAGCGAGATCCCGAATCAAAACCTACAAAAAAAACTGCAACCAATTATACTAGATAAAGCAAGCCCCATTATTCGTATGTCTATGTGCTTGGCAAAACGAGACTGTAAAAATTTCTCTTCAGCATCAATTTCAACAATAACGAAATCAAGAAAAGAACCAAGAAAATTGTTGGTCGATTTTCGAGAGGCAATTATATTTTACCATAAAAAACTGGGGAAGGTTATAACTTGAATCCAATTTCAAGTTGAATAGTTTCATTCAAAGGTCTACTTCCGAATAATTGCTGCTAAAAACAAGGGGGACGAGAGTTATTTTGAACTGAATTTTAAAAATTGCGAATGCTATAAGTATTGTTTACACGATCGTGGAATAATTTTAATGGCATACTTTTAATACTGTGTTACTTTCATAGAAAACAAATAATTGATGTTATATATATATTTCAGATTGAAATTTCTGCAATTTAGAAGAGAGAAGATAAAAAATGAAGTAAAAAAGACAGTTCTGGATTAGTTTGGAGCAAGTCCGTGGATCTCAAGAAATTTCGAATGTGCATAAGTTGAACTAAAAAAAAGCAATGCGAAGTGGTTTGCGCGTATCCAAATATATTTCATAGATGGCAAACTTTAGACGCATTCCTCGGAGGGAAATCATAAAAACTTCTCCCCAGAATGTATTCCAGTAATCACTTAAAAACGTCGTAAATCGTTCGATAGCAGCTCCCATGTGTGATACGTTTGTATTACATGTTGACGCATAACTTCTGAATAAAAAATTCGGATTATTTTTCGTCTAGGTTCATCAGATGGCCACTGACAGGGAACAGAGCTCGTTTTGGAACAAAGCGGGATAATCAAGTCATTCTAAGTCACCACACGCGACAACATTCGATCTTTTGAAAGAAATTTGTTTTCATGATTTCCCATAGACATTGACTTCCTCATATTTCAAGCAAAATATATGAACTTCCTTTTCAAGCGTTAGCATACAATTCATTATTCACATTTAACTCGTTTCATTTTTTCATAACTTAACTCGCATTTTCCAGATGTCAATATTATGAGAGAAACTCATCATCTCGCCGAATTATTAGTTTGTTCAAATTTTCTAACGTGAATTCTCGTAGTAAAAATGACCGAAGAAAATAATAGCCAAGACGAAAAGCAGCAGTACATTCTTGGTTACTGGAACGTGAGGGGAGTAAGTGAATTCTTCAATTCTTTGTTATCCCCCTAATTTCCCCTGACTGAGAAATTAAAGAGGATTGTGAGTTGAGTATATACACTTTTATTTATATACTGGCAGACAACATTCACAAAAGGACAAACACAAACACAGAT